TAAGGTCAAAGGTGCGGAGTGTTGGGGGAGCTTCAGTATGAAGAATGTAGGGTGGGGAAGTGGAGGTCAGAGCAGTGGTGAGGCCGTGGGAGAGGGGTGATGAAGGGGGTAGCTGAGTGAAGGGGAACGGGGTTGGAGGGAGTTTGAGCAGCAACGAAGTCCCTGCTGGTTATGTCGAGGGGGAGGGAGGATGAGGGGGTAGCTGTGTGAGAGGGGACAGGTTGAGAGGGCATGTGAGTTGCGGCGATGTCCTTGCGGATTGTGTCAGTCTTGTTTTTGAAGTGATTGGCAATCTCAAGGGCAGTGAGTGAGGTGCTGGGGTGGAGGTGGGGGTGGCGAGAGTAGAGAGTTGAAGGTGGAGAAGAGTCGGTGAGGATTGAGGAGAGGGCCTTGATGAGGGTCAGGAAGTAGGCTTGTTTGGCTGTGTGGAGGGAGGAGGTGTAGGTGTGGAAGGCAGATTTGTAGCGGGTGAAGGCGTGTTGGGATTTGGTTTTGCGCCATAGTCGCTCCAGGGCACGACTGTGTCGTTTGAGGGTTTTGGTGTGATCAGTGTGCCAGGGCTGGAGCGGTCGGGGTTTGATGTTGCGTGTGGTTAGAGGCGCTAGTGAGTCAAGGGCTGTTGACAGCGTGTTGTTGTAGGCAGTCATAGCCAAGTCGGGGCAGGACAGGGGGAGGATGCTGTCATGGAGTTGATCAGTTGCAGAGTGGAGGGGGCAGGGTTAAGGTTGCGGAGGTTACGGCTGGTAGTAGTGTGACATTTGGAGGGGTAGGCGTTGGAGGACGAGGAGATAGAGAAGGTAATAAGGCTGTGGTCAGAGAGAGGGAAGGGGGTTTTAGTGAGGTTGTGGGGAGCGCAGCGGTTGGAGAAGACAAGATCAAGGATATTACCGTTGGAGTGGGTGGTGGATTGTATGCACTGTGCAAGTGCAAAGGAGGAGGTTAAGTGGAGGAGATGGGATGTGTCCGGGTTGTTGAGGTTGACAGGGATGTTGAAATACCCAAGGATGATGGTGGGTAGCTCAGAGGAAAGGAAGGGTAGCCAGGGAAAAGTCATCCAGGAAGCAGGATATGGATCCAGGAGGCCGGTATATCACAGCAATCTTCAGGGGGGTTGGGGAGAATAGTCGGACGCAGTGGGCCTCGAAGGAGGAGAAGGATAGGGGGGGGGGTTTGGGAGGACTTGGAAGGTGCTCTGTGGTGACAGGAGCAGACCAACCCCACCACCTTTACGACCGTTAGGCCTGGGTGAGTGGGTCCAGGTGAGACCTCCGTAGGAGAGTGCAGCAGGGGAGGTAGAGTCAGTGGGCTGGATCCAGGTTTCTGTGATCGCTAGGAGGTTGAGGGAGCGGGAAACAAAGAGGTTGTGGATGGCGGTAAGCTTGTTGCACACCGATCGGGCGTTCAGGAGTGCACATGAAAACAGGGGGGGAGATTTAGGGAGCAGGGGGACAGATACTAAGTTGTGGGGGTGTGCGGCGGGACGTGGAGGGCGGGAGGGTGTTGCGCGGGTGAGGGGAGGTGGTGGAGGGCCAGGATTGGGGGAGATGTCTCCCGCGGTTAGGAGGAGGAGAAGGGTGAGAAAGGTGGCATGGGAGCGGGATGTGCAGGAGCGTGAGAAACTACTAGTGGAGGTGTTCGGGTCAGTGGGAGAGTGGAGTAATAGGAGGAGGTGGTGGGTGCCGTTGAGGGGTGAAGGAAGCAGTGAGGACACAATATACAATTGTTTGGGAGGGGCAGAGGGATATAGTGAATGGATTTTGGGAATGGAGGAGAGGAAAATGAGAAGGAGGAGAGGAAGAGGCATTTTGGGGAGGTGATGAGAGCAATAGTAGGGAGATGATAGCAATGAGGGGGAGATGTACAAGTTTTGGGGTGGAGCAGAGGGGTAAAGAAATGAGATTTGGGAACAGAGGATAGTAATATGATAAGGAGAAGAGGGGCGTATTATATAAAGGTACACGGAGTGGGACTCAGGCATGTAAGAGATGTTTCCCGGGGTGTTTGCTTGCAGTCTGTCCAGCGTGCAGTAGAGTTTCTTGCTGTTGTTGTGTCTTCCTGCTGCTGAAGTTCTCCTGCTTTAGTTCAACTGCTGTGTTTAACTGCATCCCACTCCTTCAACACAGCACTCAATCAAAGCAGCACCCCCATCAGAGACTGTGCCCCCCCATCAGTGATCTCCCCCCATGAGCTGATCTAAATTTATAGGGAGATGCTCAAATGAGCATTCAACTCCACCCCAATTAGAAGCTGATAAGGATCACATGAATAGTGGGGGATGTTTCATTGGGAACAGGCTACAGTCGTAAACCTGAGTGCAGCTGGAGGTGAGGAATGGTCAACATACACAAATATAAATACACCATTTGTTCTGAATTTAACAGGAGTCAATGCGTTTTCCTAGTTAAGAGCGGAGATAGGAGATAGATGCATTTACCCAGAGGAAAAGCAGGAGGAGCAAAAGTTAAGACAACAAAGGGCCAGAAGAGAACTAGGGAAATGAGGAAATAGAATTTGTTTCCCTAAAACTTGCTTAGCTTATGTATATATTGCTGACCATCAGATTTACAGTGCTATATTTTTTTTTTACATAATTCGGACAACCCCTTTAAGGTTTTTTTTGGCATTTTATATCTTAAATGCACTTATGTGAATTAAATAGTAATTTGGACTTTAAATTTGGTTAAAAACCCATAAATAAAAAAAAAACCCCAAAAAAATTATTTTTTTTTTATAAATTTGAAGACAATTTTGCAGTTTGTGGCAAATCATGACGTCTAAGAGTTTTTTCAATATTTTATTTGTTTTCAATATTTTTTTATTTGTTTTCAGCACACCAAAATACATGGAAATTAGATGAAAATAATCAAACAGCTTTTTAGTCGCAGACCTGTGTTATAAGTAAGACACACAACAAGTAAAGCCCAACTTCAGCTAACGCTTCTACAGCAGTTACAGCAACAGGTTCTCTATAAGGTCCAACCCCCCATATGAATGACAACTGACAGTTGTGAGCACCCCCAGCAGTGTTATAGGATTTGCCCCAACCCCTCCAACTGCCATTTTTCCCTAAACACTTAGTCTTCTAAAGGAAGTACAAAAAAAAAAAACAATCTACTGGGAGGGACAACAAAAAATTAAAACAATGGGAGACTCAGAAAAACAAAACCTGCTCTGCTAATGACAGATTTCATTATTAATGTCATTATTGATTTTGCCCATAGTTACACTTTGGTGCCAACGTTGTAATATTTCCAGGGAGAAGAAGTTTTCTTTACAAACTTTACACCAAAAAGAGATGTGTGCACTCAGAGTGATTATTGTGAACCCCAATCAGAGGAATGTCAGTCCCCCGGAAGAAGTGGTAGGAATATGACCGCACACTCAGCACTTTGTAAGTTCAGATCTCTGGCAGTTGTATTGTGTGATTAGTCTATGGAGAGGAGTAATAGCTGGAAAGAGAAAACATGGAACAAGGATTTCTGATCTTCACCTGATGGAATCCCATTTGGCAGAACCACATGGAACACAAGTGGCCAGCTGGGCTTACGTTTTACTGCTGAATACATCCCCTAAATCAGCAGTAACTCAGTATTGGAAGGCCTGCATCAGCTTGGGATGTTGTTTTCTCACTGAACAGAGACTTCTTTCTAGCTGGTGTCACAGCCGCAGACCTGCCTGAAAGGTTGTCACCCATGAGATGATATATCCTACAACCTCACAAACACCCCCTTTCCTCTCTATGATCACAATCTCATCACCTTCACAGTCTCCTCATCTTCAAACACTTATCCCTCCAAGCAGCAATCACCTGCAGAAACCATCACAACTTGAACCCTTCTCCTTTCCACTCTGCAACTGACCAACTCTATGACAGAATCTCTCCCCTGTCCTGCCCTGACCTGGCCACTGCTGTCTACAACAGTTCACTTTCATCCACATTAGACTCACTTGCTCCTAACCACACGAAGCATCAGGCCCCGACCATTACAACCTTGGCAGACTGACAACACCAGAGATCTTAAACGACATAGTCGTGTGCTGGAGCGAATGAATGTGGCATAAAACCAAATCTCACCAAGCATTCACCCGATATAAATCTGCTTTCTTCACATACAATTCCTCCCTCCATGCTGCCAGACAAGCCTACTTTGTCACTCTCATCAATAGCTTGTCATCCAGTCCTCGTCGTCTCTTCTCTCTACTTCTAACTCTCTACTTTCTCCACCTCCACCAGTACCTCACTCACTGCTCACGAGATTGCAAATCACTTCAAAAAACAAGATTGATGCAATTCATAGGGGCATCTCCACTGCACAGACATCCATCCCACTTAGCATACCTTATACTAAACCTCCCTCAACACTTTCCTCTTTTGACCTTGCTACTACCGAAGAGGTCACTAAGGTTTCTCAGAAGCCCGTCTCACTACCTGCCCCCTGGACCCTATCCCCTCTCGACTCTTCCGGTCACCCCCCTCTTCCCTCATCTGCTCCCTCACCCACATCTTCAATCTCTCCCTCTCTACCGGCGTATTCCCCTCCCTCTAAAGCATGCGCACATCACTCACTCCCATACTTAAAAAATCCTCCCTGGACCCCACCAACCTGAACAACTTAAGACCCACCTCCCTGCTCTTGTTTACTTTTAAACTCTTAGAACGCTTAGTCTACAATTGCCTGAGCTCCTCCCACCTCACCGACAACAACCTTCTTGACCCTTTACAGTCTGGCTTTCGCTCACTACACTCCACTGAAACTGCCCTACTAAACCTCACTAATGATCTACTAACTGTTAAAACCAATGGCCACTACTCCGTACTCATCCCAACCAATGGCCACTGCTCCGTACTCATCCCAACCAATGGCCACTACTCCGTACTCATCCCAACCAATGGCCACTACTCCGTACTCATCCCAACCAATGGCCACTACTCCGTACTCATCCCAACCAATGGCCACTACTCCGTACTCATCCCAACCAATGGCCACTACTCCGTACTCATCCCAACCAATGGCCACTACTCCGTACTCATCCCAACCAATGGCCACTACTCCGTACTCATCCCAACCAATGGCCACTACTCCGTACTCATCCCAACCAATGGCCACTACTCCGTACTCATGGCCCTACTCCGTACTCATTCCAATGGCCACTACTCCGTACTCATCCCAACCAATGATCACTACTACTACTCATCCCAACCAATGGCCACTACTCCGTACTCATTCCAACCCATGGCCACTACTCCGTACTCATCCCAACCAATGATCACTACTCCGTACTCATCCCAACCAATGGCCACTACTCCGTACTCATCCCAGCCAATGATCACTACTCCGTACTCATCCCAGCCAATGATCACTACTCCGTACTCATCCCAGCCAATGATCACTACACTGTACTACTCCTCATCCAACCTATGGCCACTACTCCATACTCATCCCAACCAATGGCCACTACTCTGTACTCATCCCAACCAATGGCCACTACTCTCCGTACTCATCCCAACCAATGGCCACTACTCCGTACTCATCCCAACCAATGGCCACTACTCCGTACTCATCCCAACCAATGGCCACTACTCCATACTCTTACTACTTGACCTCTCTGCAGCTTTTGATATGGTTGACAAACCCCTTCTCCTCAAAAAACTCCACTCAGTTGGCCTCCAAGACTCTGAACAAGCTCTGCAATAGGTAGGAGAACCAGGAGAGAGCAGAGTTAACTATAACTCTGCCTCCTCCTCTTCACTCCCTCTTTCCATAGGGGTACCTCAAGGTTTCCGTTCTTGGACCCCTACTCTTCTACATCTACACCTCCTTCCCCTACTGCCATGGTTTTAAGTACCATCTCTATGCTGATGACACACAAATCTATATTTCTACTACTCACCTCGCCCCTTCAGTCTCCTCTCTCATTACTAACCTACTAAGCGACATATCGGAATGGATGTCACTCCACTTCCTCCAACTCAATCTTAACAAATCTGAGCTCTTAGTATTCCCCCCAGCCTGTGCCCCCTCCCTGACTTCTCCATCAAGACCAATAACACAACCATCAGTCCCCCCCCCCCATCAATCAAAAAATGTCAAAAGATAAAATATTCAAATCCCTTCTAGTTGTGTGCTTGATGGACATAAGCACTAAACTCAGTTCATCCGATCATTACATTCCAGTTTGCTCACAGATTTTAGTTTGTTTTTTTAAAGTAACATTTTAACTTTTCCCTTCTTCTCTAGCTTGTGGGATGACATTGGGGATGTGAAACAAACCTGTGACACCTGAAACTTCTTTAATATTCCTTTTCTTCCAGAATTTAATCAATGCAGAAATTTATGAAACCTCCGGTGATAGATTAGACTGGCATTAACTATACTTTGTAAAACTTTGTCACATTGAGAGCATTAAAATGGCTTCTCTCCAGTGTGCCTCCTCTGGTGTTTCATAAGATCTGACTTATATGTAAAAGCTTTATCACATTCAGAACACTGATATAGCTTCTCTCCAGTGTGAACCCTCTGGTGTGTCTGATAAGATTTAACTTCTGAGTAAAAGCGTTATCACATTCAGAACACTGATATGGCTTCTCTCCAGTGTGTATCTTCTGGTGTCTGATAAGATTTGACTTCACAGTAAAAGCTTTATCACATTCAGAACACTGATATGGCTTCTCTCCAGTGTGAATCCTCTGGTGTTTGATAAGATGTGACTTCAATGTAAAAGCTTTATCACATTCAGAACACTGATATGGCTTCTCTCCAGTGTGAATCCTCTGGTGTGGGATAATATGTGATTTATCTGTAAAAGCTTTATCACATTCAGAACACTGATATGAGCTTCTCTCCAGTGTGAATCCTCTGGTGTGTGATAAGACTTGACTTCACAGTAAAAGCTTTATCACATTCAGAACACTGATATGACTTCTCTCCAGTGTGAATCCTCTGGTGTGTGATAAGATGTGACTTCAATGTAAAAGCTTTATCACATTCAGAACACTGATATGGCTTCCAAACATCGTACAAAACATAGATGTTCAGATAAGAGATCTGGGAACACAGCCAAAAATGGCAGGATGTACTGACTGAGGTTAACATTTTAACAGTTTAAGAAAAGGTGCACCTTGTCTAGTATCTGGGTAGAAGTAAAGGTACGCTTTACTATTGGATAATTTGAGTTTGTCTTACTATTGGATAATTTGGGTTTGTGGTTTTTGCCTTTATAAGCTGTAATGTACGTAATAAACTTTGCAATCTTCCTGTATCCTACTTGAGTGTTGGTTATGTTGATTGCCCGATCGCGATCGAGCCCCGTGCCACACCCAGACGCTGCGCAGCACAGAGATAATATAGAAATAAGAATATAAGGATTCCAGGAAAGGGGGAATTCCTAACAGCTGGTACCAGAAGTGGGGGTCCCGCTAATACCGGCCCGTGAGTCAATATCGTTTCAATATACCCTTGATATACTTATGATATTGCCTGCTCTGGATACGGTGACGTCTCACGTATCGCGTGAAACTGAAAAAGTAGTTTAGTCGGTTTTGTAAAGGAGGGGTATCTGTTTCTCGCTCCTAGCAATAGTGTAGTTTAGTGTTTTATGATGTGAGGGGTTTCTGTTTCTCGCTCCTAGAATAGTGTAGTTTAGTGTTTTATGATGGAGGGGTTCTGTTCTCGCTCCTAGAATAGTGTAGTTTAGTGGTTTTATGATGGAGGGGTTCTGTTCTCGCTCCTAGAATAGTGTAGTTTAGTGTTTTATGATGGAGGGGTTTCTGTTCTCGCTCCTAGAATAGTGTAGTTTAGTGTTTTATGATGGAGGGGTTCTGTCTCGCTCTAGAAATAGTGTATGTTTTAGTGTTTTATGATGGAGGGGTTCTGTTCTCGCTCCAATAGTGAAGTGTAAAAAGTTACATAAGAGGCGGGGTTCTGTCTCGCGCCGTATATAAAGGTTCTTATTTTTTAACTGCGGGAAGGGTCAGACTCGTTCTGCCTGCAGGTTTATCAGCTCTGTGACAGTTTAGACATGTACAGACTGTACAGGAAACATTGAGGGGTTCTGTTCTCGCTCAATAAAGAAAAAGACATAAAAGAGGCAGGGAAAATTTAAAACGGAGCTAAGTTCCGTTTTTAGGGAAATGTCTGAGGTGTGCCGGTGCTAATTGTATCTAAAAGCAACGTTGTATTGTGGAATTGTTTGTTAAATGTTTGAAGTGTGAATGAAGCTGTATTGCAAGAGTAACGCGTTACTGGTGTCCATATTGTCTGCAGTCTCATGATTTTTACTGATATATTGTATATAGGATCTATATAAATACCCCGTGTTATTGAATTAGCATTAGCATTAGCATTAGATGGAATCTAGCAGAAAGGAAAAGTTTGACTGATCAAAGGAAGGAGAAAACAGTAGAACAGATAGCAGCAGAAGACACACTTGTAGTGGTTGAAACAGAAAACAAAGAAGAAATACCAAACATAACACTCTGAACCCATGATCATTCCCTGAGATTACAGTATGGGACAACACAAAGGTACAGGTACCCCTTACCAGTGGGATTAAGGATCTTAAATTCTCTGTGTTCCTAACCCCATGACATACTCATTCAAATTAACCTTTGCATTCCTGCCATGTTGCCCGGTTGCGTTGATGGTAGAATTACTGTCAGAGCTCATGAATCACATACCCCCTGACAATCAGTCCGACCTGCACCCCCGCCCCTACGATATGTGAACTGACTAAAGCGGAGAGAAAGGACCATAAGGACCTGAGATAGCATCTAAGACAAATGAGATCCGACTCTCCCACCCCAATTTTCGTGGCGGACTTGACAAAACTGCAGTAGGCTTATTGTTAAATTGCATGCACCCCTTACAAGCCAAACTTAAAACAGACCGAGGAAAGCGCGGTCCTTTGTTTTCAAAAACAGTATCCCCCTGTCTGAAGAAAAGATAGAGGGTATAAACAGACCAGCCATACAAATTTATCTGACATGGGTGTTCTCAGACCGAGACAATAAGTCCCTGGAACACACCTAATAATCCAGTAAGTGCAAGCAGATGGTTCATTGAAGGCTAGTCCCAGTGAATCTCAGGAAGGTAAACACGACAATTATTCCCCTACCTCCATTGGTACAGATATTACGGCAATTTTTGGGGCTATTCCCAGTCAGCTCGCGATTCTACACTGTAATCAGATCTTTCCAATTGCTTTCTTAGCATTCCGGTTGAAGTAATTGCCCAGAACATGATTTTCTTTTCAATGGGGACGGTGGTCAGTTTGACCTGGTCTCGTGTCTTTCCTCAAGGCTATGGGGATAGTCCTTGCTGCTGCTTTCTCAATGGTATTTGAAAGCATCTTTAGACAGTTGGGAGCCAAAAGAGGGGATCCACCTTTACTCCAATACGCAGCAACGACCTAATGGTCAGCCATGAAGACCAGCGAAGACTGTAGAGGTAGACTCAAGACACTTGCTAGATTACCTAAGCCCGAAAGGGGCCATTTGGCCTCAAAAACGAAGATCTACAATGGGTACAGGAACAGTGGAATACCTGGTTGCCTGATTTCAGGAGGAGAAAGTGCGGACTGTCTCCCCAAGCCAGGGTAAAAGCCCTAACGTTCCCTCACACTGAACCAACAACACAAGAGCTGCAATGAATCGGTCCTGTCCTTGGGTCCAATAGTGTAATTGCAGGCAGTGGATACCTTGACTGTTCCCACCCAGATGATTGACGATTCACAGGGATTACAACACAAACAAGAGGCCCCACAACAGATAGAGTGGACCCCGGAGAGAAAGTGAAGCCTTTTGGTAGACTGTAACAGATCACTGACTAATGCCCCAGCCTTAGCAACTTGGCCTGGACTATGAGAGAAGGAGTTTCAGCTTTAAACAGTGTAGTGTTCCAGCGTACCAGCATTTGCAGCCGTACTCACACAGGAACACGGTGGAAAAAAATAGACCAGTGGCCTTACCTTTCTACAGAAGTTGCCTGTGTGGTTTTGGGCATGCCTCATTGCCTTCAAAGCGATGGCTTGCTTTGTGCAATGGCTGTAAAGGATGCAAAGTAAACTGACACAGGGATCACCCGACTGTGTTATACACCACACATTCAATAGCAGTGCTAGTGGCACAATAATGACGACACAGCACGAGGACAGCACAGAGACCGAGTGGATATGAAGTGATCTTACTCAGCACAGCCAACTTGCAGATTAAAGACTGCCGGATACGGCTCCGGTGCTTAGGCTGCTACACATGCTGACTAAAGTTTGGGTGAGACGGGAGGAGAACTGGTGAACTATCCACCGCTCTACGATGACTGTGGAGGAAATGGTGTTAGAGAAATACTTTACACCCAGAGATGATCTGAAGGACATACACCCAATCGTGGCAGTATAGATGTTTTTGTTGATGGCAGCTGTGTCAGGACCAGGATGATCATACCTACCAAACGGGTTATGCTGTAGTGATGCTACCAGACATAATCATTGAAGCCAAACACGCGCTTCATGCTAAATTCAGTCCCAGCAAGCTGAGTTAGTCGCGGCTAACGCGCGCCTGTCAACTTATTGCTGACCCCAACAGAGTGACATTTTATACTGACAGCAGATTATGGCATATGGGGTAGTACATGATTATAACATGATCCGTTTAGCCGAATTTGGTAACAATGTCAGCAGGACAGAGCAGCAACGGAAACCGTGTCTACACAAAAACACACAACATGAAACCTTGTTATGAAGACAGACTGAAGAAAGCCACAGGGATCTTTAAAGAACGGGCAGTATATCTCCCGCCCCTCGAGCAGTGTGAGGTGCGCCCAGTTCAATAACCAAGTACCAGGACCACCCCTCACTAAACATGACTGGACGTTAGCCATAGGTAACAACTGATGGAAGACACCACAATGACAGCCAAACCCCAGGTGACGAAACTACCTTTTTTTCTGCTTTACAGGAGAATACCTAAAACATCTGGTAAGTGGTGTTCACTGACAACCATGAAACGTGTCTGTTACCTGTCCTCAGGATTTCAATCAGATCCCGACTCATTGAAACGATCTGCCGGTGACAAAAGTGTCGAATGCAAACAGCTGGCTCCACAGAAGACAGACAGACCCCATTTTTCTAGGCCATTTGGAAGTCCTAAATCCGCCAGAACAAGCAGTTCTAACTGACCAGACTCCAGAATGGGATCCATGCATCGAGTTGAAGAAGGATACCTGGTAAATGAAGAATCCCATCAGAGTTCTCAGCGAACACGTTTTCTACTCTCCCTACATCCCATGGCCCGGGACACCTTGGGACTGATACACCCATTTTCACAAAAGCATTACTTTTACAACTGTTGGATGAAATGCATACCCCACCCCATTGCACCCACTTACCCCAGACATATAGCTGAAACATTCATAGAGAACAGTTAACATACATATGATCGGTAAATGTCTAGAAGATCCCATCTAATAAGACACTGAATAGACCCTCATCCACTTTAGTGCAACATTTTTCGGTTCAAAATGAGACTTACTGATGAAAAATGGAAGAATCCTATAAGACATCGACAGCTTACATCCCAAAGGCCTCAGAGAAACCCAGAGGAAGATAATCCAGAACAAAGTGTGATTCCGAGATAACAGAGGACCCCCTTTCCTCTGACAACCAAACAAATAATTTGGGAAAGGGGGCCCCTAATATTCGGAAGTGGGACCCCGGGGATTCCCCAAAAGGGGTTTTAAAAAATTAATTGCCCCTTTATACACTAGCAAAATTTTTTTTGCAATTTTTATT